CTTGGGGGCTTATTGGACCCTCACGGCGGACTCTTGGGGCCTCTAGAACGCCTCCTGGGGCCATCTTGGGGGTCTCTTGGAGCCACCTTGGAGCCTCTCTGGAACCTCTTGGGGGCCTCTTGGAGTCCTCTTGAAGCCTCTTGGGACCATCTTGGGCGCCTCTTTGGGCCTCATGGACGCCTCTTGGGGCCATCTTGCGCGCCTGTTGGGGCCATCTTGGGTTTTAAAGATTCATCAAGAGACCGCGAATGGATTTCGAGATTTTTCGGATGAGAAAGTAGTGCGTTTTCATATGTTTTCTGAACATCGCATCTTGAAATTATTGAAAACCCATTGTGTTTGGCAGGATTTCGACATGCGCGCGCGGCGGCCGCGCGCATGTGCACTTCGTCTCATTTTTTGCAAGGGATGGTGGCCCTCGCAGGCGCGCAACCGTTGTTGGAGAAGTTCAAAGCACCTGAAGAAGTAGCACGCAAAGACCCTTTTGACAGAAATGTTTAAAAAGTGGTGTGTTTCCTATGAATCCGCAAGAGCGCGCGGAAGGACATTTTGACAATTTTTTCTTAAAAAACCATTGGGTTTTTGATGTTTTTATGTTAAAATCGCTACGAAACCTAAGGTTTTGGAAGGATTTCGTCTTGCGAGCGCGAATGTCCACTTTACCTTATTTTTTGCAAGGGATTCTTGAAATTTGATCAACTAAGAACAAGAATTTTCATTTTCTATTGTTTTTTGCAAGGGAAAACGAGCGTCAACAAAAAACCGGATCCGGGGGTAATCCACTTTTCTGAAGCTTTCGCAGAAAAATGATGAAAATGTAGCTGCGGCCTAGGTTTTGGGCGGGGGGCGTGCACCAGGGGGTCCAACAATAATAATTCTTTAGAAGTAATAGTGTTCAACAACAACAACAACAACAACAACAACAACAACAACAACAACAACAACAACAACAACAACAACAACAACATCAAAAACGTTACGAAGAGAGACCGAGGCGACGATGCCTCCCGGCGATGGAGGCCGCCTCGCTCTCGCCGCGCTCCCGGGGCCTCCGACGACGTGCGAGCCGGGCCGCCGCGGCCCCATCCGGTGGCGCTCCCCGCGGGGCCACGAAGCGTGCGAGGGGTGTGCCAAGGGAGAGTACAGTCGGACTCGACTGGACAGGACACGCGAGAGGACACAAGACCCTTCCGAGGGCCACGTTGCCGCAGGAATGCAGCAGGCATGGGTTGCGAGACACAGAACACGAGGGTACCCTTGAGCTGGCAGGGTCGACCTACTAATCCGGGCCGACTGTACTCCAAATCCCTTATTAATCGACCCCCCTAAAAAGCTGGACGCCCCTGCGAATGCGACCTACTAGTTCGGACCCCCTCTTAGACGGGGCGCCCCAGTAAACCAGACCCCTAAGATCCAATCCAAAGAAAGCGCCCGAATAAACCAGATCCCCCCAATTACAAAAAAGGCGCCTTCACAAAAACCGGACCCGGGGGACGATCAATTCGCCGGCCCAACGGGCCAGAGGCGTGCTAAGATCTCCGGTAACTGGTTAACAATTTTCTAGTTCGCGCGCGCGGGGCGGCCCCTGGGGGTCCCCGGACGAAAAGTACCCCGACCAGGTCCCGGCCGGTCCCCGGCCCCCGGCCGGGTCCCGGCCGGGTCCCCCCGAGCGCTCCATGAGCGCACCAACAGGGCTCCGAGACGTCCCCGAGAGCCCCAAGAAAGGCCAAGAGGCCCCCAAGAGGCCCCCAAGATGGTACACGAGGGGTCCGACATGCCACAAGATCGCTCCAAGACGCCCAAGATAGCCCCCAGACGCCCCAAGAGGCCTCCAAGAGCACTCCCAATAGGGCCCCCGGAGGCAAAAATCATTGTTTTTCCATAGGTTTTTGAGAGATTTTGGAGCTTCCACCTTTTCGGCTTCCCGACGCCCCAAGACGGCCCAAGAGGCCCCCAAGATCGCCCCAAGAGGGCCCAAGAGGCACCCAAGAGGGCCCCAAGATGGCCCAAGAGGGCTCGAAGACGGCCCAAGAAGCCTCCAAAACGGTCCAAGAGGGCCCCAAGAACGCCCCCAAAGGGGCCCCAGAGAGGGAACACGAAACAACATTTCGAGCCCTCGGCCCTAAGAAGCCCCTACGAGGCCCCTAAGAGGCCCCAAGAGGCCCCCACGAGGCCCTCAGGAGGCCCCCAAGAGTCCCCCAAGCGGCCCCAGGAGGCCCCCCAAATGCCCCCCCGAGCGCCCCAGGAGTCCCCCAAGCGGCCCCAGGAACCCCCAAAGCGCCGCATTGACACCAGGCCCTCGGGCAAACGGCAGACATGAGACTGTATGGGCCGGCGGAATGAGCGAAGCGATTAAATAAGGGATTTGGAGTGGGGGAACGAATAATGACACAAACATAAAAACTCGGAGGTCCGCGCGGATGTCTCGGATCGGCGCTGAAAGACCCCTGGCGGCGCCTCCGGCGCCGCCCCTGGCGCGCTCCGCGCGCCAGGGAGGGGGGTCCAACGCCGATCAGAGAAATCCGCGCGGACCTCCGAGTTTTTGTGTTTATGCCATTGTTTGTTTCCCTACGGAGGGAGGGCGGCATGCGAACCATGCCGAAGGTCGGGATGAACTTGCTCGACCGCTGAGTAGCTGCAGCGAACTGTGGGGGCAGCCGGGAGAAGACAGCCAAATCAACGATGAGAACAACCCGTGAAACGCGCCGACATGGAGAAGCTGCTCGTTCCTGAAAGAAAACTCGGGGATACGAGAACGAAAGCCAAGGATGCGCGTGTATACAAGGGTACCCTTGGACAAGGGAAGTGCTAAGAAAATTGCCAGAACCGAAGGATGCAAAGGTGCCCTTGCAAACAGGGGCCATCCTTCACGCCGGTTCTGAGTGCAAGCAGTCCTCTCCAGTGCTACCAAAACCTGGCTCCCGTTCGGCGAGCCAGGAGCAGACCGAGAGCACTGCTGCCCAAAACAGAAGACAGACAGGACTGCACAAGGCCTTTCATCCAGCACCCAGGCGCACCAGCGAACCAGATTGCGCTGCGGCGCCTACTGGGGGCGAGCCCGCGAAAAGCGGCCAGTACACTGGTGCCCGCTGCGAAGCTCGGCAATCCCCAACTACGGAACGCCAGAGTGGACGCAAGGAAAGCGCGGGGGGAAGAGAACTGGTATGGGGGCAGGGCACGGGGGGCAAAGGAACCGGAGGAGGGGAGGGGAAGGGAAACGGGGGCCTGGAGGGGGCGGGGGGAGAGGGGGGGAGGGGAGGGGGGAGGGGCAAAGAGCAAAGCTGCCCCGTGCCACCTAGGCGCCAGAGCGGCGGCTGGAAGGAGAAGGGGAACAGAAGAGGACGAAGAGGCAGGACAAGGAGGAGAGATGGGGGAGGGAGGAGGGAGGACGGAGGAGGGAAGATAGCAGAAATGGGTGGCAGCTTGCGTTTCTCATTGCAGATGCTGGCGCATGTGTGCCGTGAGGTGGAGGTACGGGTCACCCCCCCCCATTACGAGCATCTACGTTGGCCGAGGGACCGTAGGGGGATCCTCGGCCCACTCCAGTGCCTATTGACGGCAGAATGATAGGTTGACAGGGGGGGGGGGCGGGAACCAGCGCAACCCCACTGATGGAAGCTGAAAGGAGTGCAAGGCATACCGACGGTCCTCACCGACGAGGCCTATTGACGGTCCTCGCCGAGGGGAGGGGCGAGAGGGAAGGGGTGGAGCGTATCACACCCGAGCGACGATGCCGGCCAGTTCCTGAAGCAGGAGTCCTGACAATGGGGACCCAAAAGCGGCATGCACAGCTTCGACTCCGAAAATGAATACGACCTGCGTAGTCCTTACCCCATGGGATGGGACGAGCTTTTTTTTGTCCATGGGATGGGACGAGTGGGGAGGAGGAGGGAGAAAGAGGAGGAGGAGGAGGAGGAGGAGGAGGAGGAAGACGAGCTCTCGACTCTGATTCGGGCTCAACAGACTCGGTTGTCGCGAGAACAGGTCTGAACAAGTCTACACCGAAGCGCTGTGGCGAGCAACGAGAAGGAGGAGGGATGAGAGTAGAACATGAAAAATCGGAGGTCCTTTCCTGGATCGTCGCTGGACCCCCTTCCCGCTGCAGCGCTCGCAAGGGCGGCGCCGGGGGCACCGCCAGGGGGCATCCAGCGCCGGCCCAAGACATCCGAGCGAATATTCGACAGCCAATGCTCACGCCGCCTATGCACAGTTTTTTTGTAGAGACGATGAGAGGCAGCGATGGGGTGCACCCGGGGGGGCAACATCGACCTGGCACCCGAGATGCTGCCAGATCGGCGATGGGCCCCGTTAGCAAATCCGCACGCTCCTGGGCGGGGTGGGCTGCCAGGCCCCTATCGGCGAGCAGTCAGCGATTCGGGGCCGATGCGTCCCCCCCGTGGAACCTCTAGCCCACCCTCACGTGGCCCCTGAGAAGAAGAGGGTGGGGAAGCCAAAAGGTACCGATGCCGCTACCCCCCGGACCTCTCCAGGGATGCGCTCTGACCAGGATTTCGAGGCGAATCCAGCGGTGGCGACGAGGGCCGCCCAGGAGGCCCCGAGAAGGGGAAAACCAGCGAAGGGTAGGGGTATGTGTACCTTTTGCCTTCTCGGACTAACGTTGCCCGTGAGGGGCGTAATGATTTGGGAAAGAATTAACATAATCCAAAAGCAACCCAAACGTCATCCAAAATAGTAGATAGATCGTCCCCATACGGCTGTTGGACTACGTTTGAGCATTCCTCCTGCAGAGGGACATGCCCGACTTACCCCTGAGAGGAAGAGGAGGAGAGGGGGGAGCGACAACGCTGGGCCGACTCTTGAGCAGGGACCGACCGTCCCGGCATTCCTATAGTCCTACCACAAAAGAACCCGATGCGATAAAACAAGACAGGCTCCGCCGGAAACGTCCCAAGAGCATCTCGTGGGAACCCCGCGAGGCTCTTAGAACACTGCTTGGGAGGGCTATAGGCACGCCAAGACGCTTCGCCACTGCGTGAGCCTCACGCGCTCTTCGGGGCGATGGGCGTCGCCTCGTCCGGCTGCTTGGGCTTCGCGGGCGCCGCGAGCGGCTCGCCTGCGCCCGGTCGGTCACGGCGGGGGTGCGCGCCGAGCGCGCGGGCCCCAGCGGCGGAGAGGCGGAGGGGGAAGCGGGGAAGCGGGGAGGAGGAGGAGGAGGAGAGGAGGAGGAGGAGGAGGAGGGAGGGAGGAGGAGGACCTCCTCCTCCTCCTCCCTCCTCCTCCTCCTCCTCCTCCTCCTCCTCCTCCTCCTCCTCCTCCTCCTCCTCCTCCGCCTCCGCTCCTCCTCCTCCGCCTCCTCCTCCTCCTCCTCCTCCTCCTCCTCCTCCTCCTCCTCCTCCTCCTCCCTAGGCGGGGTCCAGAAATGACCTGGGCCAGGCGCGGACTCGTCGCATTTAGACATTTTATGAAGGTTTGGCTCTTTCTTCGCCGTGCCCACTTGCCTTGATCAGGCTATCGGTGGGGGCCGGGCCGCGCTACCAGGGAATCGCTGCAGTTACACTTTTTCTGAGGGTTTGGCTCGTTTTCGCCGTGCCCACTTGCCTTGATCAAGTGATCGGCGGGGTTGGGCTCCGCTACCAGGAAATCGTCGCAGTTAGACTTTTTATGAGGGTTTGGCTATTTTTCGCCGTGCCCACTTGCCTTGATCAGGTGATCGGTGGGGGCTGGGCCCCGCTACCTCGCATTTAGAACTTTTATGGGGGTTTGGCTCTTTTTCGCCGTGCCCACCTGCCTTGATCAGGTTCTCTCGGTGGGGGCTGGGCCCCGCTATACCAGGAAAATCAATGGGGGGTGGACAAGGAGCATTGCGCTCGCACACGACGTGGGCGCTCTCGGCGGCGCACCGGGCGCGCGCACCGGGGCGACGAGGAAGCCCACGGAGCCGCAGGAAGACGGCCCGCGGCGGACAGCCCTCGCGGCTCGGGCTGGACAGGAGCTCGGCCCGAGGGAGCCGCGCCTGTGGGGGGCCGAATCTGAGCTGAGCCGGGCCTGCCTCCCACTCCTCGCTACCAGGGCCCGCCCCTCCTCCCAGCCGCCCCCCCCCCCCACGCCCGCGGGGTCTGGCGTGCTGGGCATCGTGTCACCGATCCCTGTTCCCACTGGCGTGGCCCTGGCCCCACTGGCCGACTTACCCACCCGGGTGGGGACAGATACGCGTGCCCCTTCAGGTTTCGCTGGGCCTGTCCCCACCTGGGAGGGTGAGCTGGTGGGGCTGAGCTACCATGGCCCGGTGGGGATGGGGCTCAGTCAGTAGAGGCCTCCACAGGGGGTCCGAGCAGATGGGGTCGAAGGATCGCGCCGCATCGCCAATGCATCAGCGACGTCGGCAAGGCATCGGTGACGTCGGCGTGGGGAAACACGAGCTCCACATCGAGCCGCGTCGCCGATGCATCGGCGAGGCGGCGCGATCCCCCGACCCCGTCTGCTCGGACCCCGTCTGATTAGGAGGTCTGGAGTCAGACTCCAGACGATGCCGAGCCCCCACCCCCCCTGCCCGCGGGGTGGTCTGGCGTGCGGGGGCCGGGCGAGCGGCGCGGGCCTGGGAAGGGCCAGCTGCCGACCCCGAGTATCTTCTCGAACGTCTGCACCGCCTCGGGCAGGCTGGGCAGCGCGAGGCAGGCCGGGCAGCTCACGCGGAGCATCGCGAGCAGGGCCGCCGGGCGGGGCCGGGCAGAGGCCGGGCAGAGGCAGGGCAGCGCCAGGCAGAGCAAAGCAGAGCAAAGCAGAGCAAAGCAGAGGGGGGGAGGGGGCCCAGAACCCCCGATGCCGTGATGTTGTCACAACGTCGACGCAAGTCTGGAGCTAGGAAAAGGGGCATGGTATAAAGGGGTGTGGCGTTAATTTCATGTACGGGGGACTCTGGCGATGCTACTTATCGCAGATAGCAGCGCCATTTCCACGATTGGCACCATACCCTTTCATATGCCACACCCCCCTTCCGAGCTCTGGACTCCAGACCAAGAGGTCTTGACCAGTTCCCCCGGGGCCGGCTTTCGATCCCGAGTCGTTGCCCGGAGGCCCCGAGGCCCCGGCAGGGGCCCCCCCGAGGCCGCAGATGGCGAAGCACCTCCCGTCGTGCACCATGATGTCTCCGTTGTTCGCGGGGGGCAGCCGGAGCCCGGCATGCTCCCACCGATGTCTCTGCGCCGCGAGGCGGGCCAGGAGCGCCGCGGGGGCCGGGCGCCCGGAGGAGGCCTGGCCCAGGCGGTGGTGGCTGTTGCAGTGGTGGAGGCCAGTGCACAAGAAACCTTCCACGAGAAGCCCGGCCCTGAGACCCCAGGGCGTCCATTGACTTTTGGTGTGGGAGCGTCACGCTCTCCACAGCAAAAAACCATCGAAGCCCAAGCCTTGACGAGGCCGGGCGCCTGGACGAGGTCTGGCCGGGGCGGTGGTTGTTCATGAAGGCGCCCAGGGACACACAAAGAAATACACGCAAATCCCAGGATTCCCAATGGTTTTCCGTACTTTCTGGGTTCTCGTCTTCCCCCCCACTTCCCGCTTTTCTTCCATATGCTTATGGAAACCGACGTTTGACTGCGTCTGGGTGTCCTTTTCCCCTCCTGCGTTAAGGCGTGGCCAAGGGCCTTGGCCTCGGCACCCCGGGATCCCCCGGCGCGACGGGGGCGGGGACCCACTCGGGTGCCCCCGGGGCCGAGGGGGGGGGGGAGAGGGACAGGAGGGGGGGGAGAGGAGGATACGGGGGCAGGCTGGAGGGAGAGGGAGAGGAGGGGGGGGAGAGGAATGGGGGGGAGAAAGGAGGACGGAGGGGGAGGCTGGAGGGGGAGGATGGGGGGGAGAGGATGGGGGGAAGAAGGGGCGGGAGGGCAAGGGAGAGGAAGGGGAGGGGGGAGGAGAGGAGGACGGGGGGAAGCTGGAGGGAGAGGAGAGGGAGGGGGAGGGGGGGGAGAAAACGGGGGAGAGCAGAAGAAGGGACAGGCTCGGTGCACTCGCGTCAGATCTGGCATCCCACCACCCACCCACCCGCCCGCACCTTCCCACTGCGATGATGTGTTTTCTATCCGCTGACGGGAATAATAGCCGACATGGGCCCACAAAAGGATAACACTTTGGCATGCGCAGTCAGAAATTGGGAGCTGTGTACATTGGAGGAGGAGGAGGAGGAGGAGGAGGAGGAGCAAGAGCAGGAGGAGGAGGAGGAGAAAGAAGACGAGGCAGTGGCAGATGAGCTATAGGATGAAGAGGAGGAAGGGCATGAGGAGGAGGAAAGGAGGAGGACGAGGAGGAACAGCAAAAGCGGCAGGAGTGGGAGGATAGAGGGAGGAGCGGGGGAGGGCGGAGGAGGGGAACGGGAGCGGGGAGACCACGGCGCGGAAGGACTCGGATCCACGAAAGAGGCCCGCGTAGGGGCAGGCGAGAGGACGACGCGGGAGCGGGTGGGGAGGGGGGCGCAGCATTCGGTCGGGAATGTCCCCCTACAGGCGGACTTTGGACGACAATTCTAAACAACAAACACACACACACACACACGCGCTCCAAAAATAATCAAACATGGTCAAAAAATCGTCTATGTTTTGACTGTATTTGAGCATGTCTCCTGTAGGGGGACACGGCAGGGCGGAGAAGGGGGGGCCCTGGAGGCACGGGTGCGGCCGTCGAGCTCGGCCGCCAGGGCGGCGGAGCAGCCCGCCTTCCTGGAGGCGGCCGCCGAGCTCGGCCACCGAGGAGCTGGGCCGGCTGGGGGGTCGAGGGCCGGGGGGAGGGGGGGGTCGAAGAGGCGAAGCGCTCCTGGAGTGCACGGTGCCTTCCTTCCCCGAGGTGCACGGTGCCTGCCTTCCCGCCTGCCTGCCAGACAACCCCGACCCCAACCCGAACGCCTGGATTTTCGGGTTGCGGGAGAGGGGTGCGGGCTTCGCGCGTTTTTGTTTCACGTTCCCCGACCCCCCGACCCCTCTGGAAATGGAGGGACAACCGGGGCCTTCGGGTTGGGTTGGGGTGGTTTGGTGGGCGGTGACTTCCTGGTCCTTGCAACACCTCGCCCCAGGGCCTGTGGCGCATGGGTCTTCTCAGCGCGTAGGTCTACCCCGAGCCTTCGACCTGGTATCTCGCCTCTGGCGTCTGAGCTTTTGCACGCGTGGGTCACCTGAGCTCCCTGCCCCCATCTTTCGTATGGATGCCGCGCGGTGGGGAGCCTTCGACCTGGTCTCTCGCCTCTGGCGTCTCAGCTTCTTGCACGCGTGGGTCACCCGAGCGCCCTGCCCACCTCTTTCGTATAAATACCGCGCGGTGGGCCGTGTATTTTAGACCCCAGGCCCGATGTCTCCTGCTTCCGGGTGCCAAATCAGCAACAAACAGCTTACGTGCCTGCCCCCCTCTTTCGTATGGATGTCGCGCGGTGGGCCGTGCTTTTTGGGGTACCCCAGGCCCGATGTCTCTGGCTTCAGGGTGCCAAATCAGCAACAAGCAGCTCACGAGTGTGCTCCAGACGCCGTAGGTGTGGGTCAAATGTGGCAGCCTGAGGGTCCATCGGCGATGTAGCCGAGACTGTGGCCGTGGTCTCCCCGAGGGAATGTCAACTTCTGGCAGACGCACCTCTCCACTGCTGCAAGCCACGCCCTGCAGGCTCGACGGACCCGCTCGTCTCCACTCCTTCGTCCTTCCCGAAATGACCCTGCAGGGCCGCTCCACGCGCACCCCAGCATCTGTGCCAGCACCCCTCAACCCGATCTGCACCATCTCTCCATATCTTCCCCCGATTCTTCTCCTCCTCCTCCTCCTCCTCCTCCTCCTCCTCCTCCTCCTCCTCCCCATAATCGTATCCAGGCCCCACGGGAATACCTTGGAGGAAGGGTCAATCTTCATGTACGACCAGAAGAACACCCCGCTGAGCGTAATCATGAACGCGAACCACTGCTGCCTGGGAGGTGAGGGGGACTGCAAGCCTGCATGGCGATCCGGGAAACGGTGAACTTTCAACACTGCCACAAGGGCGGCCCAGAGGTGGCGAGAAGGAGGAAAAGCGGATGTGGCTAACTAATGGAGGAAACTTGTTTGCCCACTGTGCTTGGCGACATCCCACAGCGGGCGGGCCGAGGGTAGGAGGAGGATGAGGAGGAGGAGAAGGATTCGAGGACTGTAAGATTCTAGGTTGGCCTCTCGCGGGCCCCGAAAGTCCGCGAGGTCCAACCAGAGAGAAAAAGTGGCAGCCAATGACACGGTGGCGACGACGAACGGCGACGGCGAGGACGGCAGGCGTACAGGCGAGGAGGAGAATCAGACGGAGGAGGAGGAGCAGGAGGAGCAGGAGGAACAGGAGGACTGAGGATAGGTGGCGGAGGACAAAGAGGAGGGAGGGCGCGGCGGCCGGGCAGGGAGGGCGGCTGCGGGAACTGCGGCCAGGGGCGCCGCTCAAGACGAAGGCAGGACGAAGACAACACTGGACGAGGATGCATCGCTCATCTCTGGGACCCGGCGGGTCTGGAAGGTGACGGATCAGCAACACACACCCATAACCATAGGGGGGTCATTGAGAGGAGGACTGGTCAACTATGGGTATGGAGGAGGAGGAGGAGGAGGAGGAGGAGGAGGAGGAGGAGGAGGAGGAGGACCGTGGGAGGCTCCCGCTCGAGCGGGGACCCCCCTCCGAAAACACGCACCCATGGCCCCCGCCATCTCCCCCATGGGTGTGGGCGTATGTGTTTGAAGGGGCCCTGGGACACACAATAAATACACACAAATAAAATTATTCCCCATATTTTCCCATATTTTGTGGATTTTTGTCTTCCCGCCCAATTCCCATATTTTCGCATATTTTCTAGGGAGTCGACGAATAATTCTGTCTGTGTGTTTTTTCCCCTCCTGAGTGTTGCTCGCTCGTCACGTGTGTCGTGCACCGCGCGGCCGTCCCAGAGCGCTCCTGGAACGCTCTGGGAGTGTCCTGGAGCTCTCGAGAGCGACGTCTCCTCATCCCGGGCCCTGTGGCTACCCGGCCGCTGCTCCCGGGAGCTCTCTCTCTGGGGACATTATGACTGGGCGTCGGGGGCGAATCCAGCCGTGCCGACGAGAAACCCACAAGAAACACAGTCAAACGAAAACGACGGAAAAGCGCGGCGGCGTCGTCCCTATGGGGCCGCATAGCCCCTCGTGCTCATAGCGCCCAGAAAAATGACAGGCACTCCGAAGCCCCCGGCAAATCGGACATTTACCTCCCAGGGTGTCCCTGGGTCTAGCTGAGATGCAAATCCTGGCAACGGAGCAGGAGGGAATGCCACCCTTGGCCACGCTTCCTCGGTCTTACATTACCAGCGGCGCGGTTCAATTCGCAGCCCCTGACATAATCTGCACAAGGACTGAGCACCAAACCACATCAGAAGACGAAGTTGTAACACAACTTCCTAGAGAATGTGACACAGACATATGGAATCCAGCATGTGGAAAATTGCGGGTAGACCTCGCAACGATCGGATTACACGCCACCGCGCCGAAGGTCTTGAGTGGAGTGTCATCAGGTCCTCTCGAAGTCTCTGCATCAGATGTTACAGTATCTCCGTGAAGGGCGCAGGGGCCCCAGGGAAGGGGCTTGTCGGGGCTTCTCAAACGGCTCCTGCGAAGTGCCGCATGACTTGTCCCGAGGTCAGAGAGCCCCAAGATGGACCAAGCTGGGCCCAATAACGGCCCATGAGGGCCCCGACACGGCCTCAAGAAGGCCCCAAGAGGCAACATATTATGTTCTGGAGGTGCTTGAAGGATTTGACGTTTTCGCCTCGTCTGGCTTGAGAACGCCCTTGACGGCCGAAGAAGCCCCCAAGATCGCCCGAGCACGGTCAAAGAGGATCCCAACTGGGCCCCAACATGGCCCAAGAGGCCACCGAATCGTCCCGAGAGGCTTCAAAAAGGGTCCGAAGAAAGGGGGGGAAGCGAAGGGACCTTGGGAGCCGTTCCTCCCAAGGTCGCCCCCAAAGCCCCCAACATGCCACCAATAGCCCCCATAAACGCCCGACAGACCCCAAGAGGCTCCCAGGAGGAGACCTTCAAGGGGCCTCCGAGAGGACAAGACAGGCCCCCAAAAGACTCCCAAGAGGCCCTCAAGAGGCTTCCAGGAGGCCCACGAGAGGCACCCAACAAGACCGCAGCGGGCACGCAACCCAGGCACGATGGCGGGATGGCCACTAGCACCTGCCACTGACAGAAGTCAACCATTCAGAAACTGCGGATCCAAGCTCTGCCCACACTTATCGAACCGGGATGCTGGTAGCGACCAGATTACGTATAAACACCCAACACGGCGCTTGAGAGCCCACATGGCACTCGGCAAGGCAGGGTATCATCAAGGTCTCCAGCAAGGCATCGCAATTCACACACCACCATGCGCCACCGTGCCAGTGGCACGCAGGGCCAGGGCAGGTTGCCTGTCAGCTGTCTGGTATGGCTTCTGCAGCTTTCCTGGGAGGGACCGAACAGTCCGCGACAAGAACCACAGGAGGCGCTCAAGCAGCCCTCCAGCAAGGCTTCTGGCGGGTCAAAAGCGTTTGGTGTTACCTTCCCGGGCGTTTCAGCCTCAGTTGGTAGACTTCAGAAAACCTGCACCAAAACATGTTGTCGTCTCTTCGGGGCGCATGTTTTGCTTCCGCTAGCTTCCGCCGAACTTCCGCTGGCTTCCGCCGAAGAAAAGATGTCAACTACTTAGATCCTCGAAGGCGAGGCCATGACTGGAAACCTCCAAGTAGCCTCGGGCCGGCTTCAGAAAGCCCCAAGCGAAGCCCCAGAGGGCCCAAAGAAGCCCCAAGGTAGCCTCAAGAGAACCTCAAGAGCCCGACCAGGCGGCCCGAAGATTGCTCTACCGAGCATCATCAACAGAGTGCTCGGCAGCACCATTGCGCCCAGGACGGCCCCAAGAGACCTTCGAATCGAGGAAGCGCCAACGCTTCGTCGGCGATCCATTAGGGCCTGCCCATCGTCATCAAATCAAGCTCTCACTGTGAGAACCCGCCGAAACAAGCACAGCGCCGCCTCAGGCAGAGTTGCGCAGGGAGGCATGCCGTGCCTCCTCGCGGACCCGAGCCCGAGCCTGCAGCGCGGGCATACCCGGCGTGGGCATCAGGCCAGGCGACGCGGAGGGCAGGCAAGCATCAAAGGGCGATGGCTGCTGAACCGCGTGCCAGAAATACGACACCATGTTCTCTCTGTGAGGTTTCACTCACCGTGAGGTTTCACTCACCATGTTCCTTTCACGGCAGTGCGGGTACAGCCCAGAGTAAGGTCGACGCAAAATCGCGGGAGCACCAGACAACGTCTTTTGCTGGCACTCCTTGCCGAGCATGTGACAGCGTGCCGAAGAGCATGCTCAACGAGAAAGCGCAGACCTGGATCAACGACGCGTGGACTGGTGACGGGTCCCGTTTCCGGGCAGGATCGGAGCGCTCCGTCACCAGATCAGGCGGCGTTGGCCTCATGTTTCGAGGGGTACCTTCGCCGATCCGTGGATCTGGCGCCCACGCGCCAGATCCACGGATCCCTACCTCATAATTATGAGCGTGCGCCCGATCGGAAGACCCTCTCGGGGGCTCCCGAGGGGCCCCCGGGAGAGGGCCCAAGGAGACCCCCCAAGAGGGTCAACGGAGCCCCCAGGAGGCCTCCATGAAGCTCCCAAGAGGCAACGCAAGAACCATGTAGGTTTACGACCGCGCCGCGACACAGCATCGTAGCGCTGCTCTCGGACCGCTCTGGTATGGCTCTGCCTACTTAGCCTGTTCAGGAGAGCTCGGCGTATTCATCCCGCAAACATTTCGATGCTGCGCTGGCATGGTGCCTGGGTTTGCCGCATGGTGTCTGCGGCCACGACCACAGTGCCCTGTGCATCTCAACAATTTAGGGCCCATGGCTCCAAGACCCCCCCCCCCTTACAGGGCATCTCCCCCGAATTATAGCCCCCCCGGAAGTACAGTCCGAGATTACCAGAGTAGAAGAATAAACTTGTGGCGCTCAGCGCCACAAGTTTATGTTTATGTGGTGTTTTTCGACAGAGGTGGCGGGAGGGTGTTTTTCGACAGAGGTGACCCTGGCCCGGGGTCGCCTAGGCGTTTCCACAGAGAGCAAGATGACCTCAAGTGCACGCCTCACGAGGCCTTAAGGGCACCACGGCCTCCAGAGTGGCACGCAAAGAAAGCAAGGTGCACCTCGGGCAGAGGACGCCTTGGGCGACCTCCGATGCAGTGACACCCCCAAGACAGCAGGCCCCATCCCACCCTGGTTGTACAAGAACACTCCCCGACAACGCTCGAGTAGGACATCGACTGCAGAATTCATGCACACCCAAACTGATTTGATCGTCGAATCTGCGAAAAGACGTAGAAATGTTCGTAGGTCCACTGACAATTCTGCGTTGCATTAATTGTGTAGTCGATCTCCTACTCGAAACGCGCGCCCCGCCCTCGCACGCGCAGGCCGCACCACAGGCCCAGGCGGGCGTCCACGGATTATAAAGGCCCCCCGCCCAGTGCTCCCCCCGAAAAACTGCAGGCATCCCCGAAGCTGCAAGCATCCACTGCGCGGGCCAGCCCGCAGAACCCTCCCCCCCGGGGGTCTGCGGCGGGGCCTCCGATTGGGACGCGGAAGGACACACGAGGTACCACGAGTCCTTCTCGGAGGCGTGCGCCCGACCCGAACATACACAGCAGATCTGCCTTGCAGCGCATCGTTTCCCGAGCGGCAGGGACAGAACGCGCCCCGCCATGGATCTCACGTCATCGAGTTCTCGGCGCGCGTGGTAAGCTGGGGTGACGCCGACAGCACGCAGACCCCTTCCCCGCGAAAATGCGGCAGGACCCTCCCACGCCACCGCCCTCCCCATCCGCGCGCCAGGGCATCCCATTGGACTGCCCGCCACCGCAGAGACTCGGAGGGGATCACGGACTAGAGGCAATGCTCTGGATATGTGGTTCCCGTGTGGGTTGCTGCGATGTGACGGCACAGAACGAGCACAGAACGAGCACCGCACAAGGAGGCCCGCCACCACTATCCAAGAGGCCCGCTGTAGCGGACGGTGCAGAGATGGCGACGTGATCGCAACAGCGGGAAGTCGACAAACGCGTTGTCAAGGGGTTGGGAGGGTGTCGCAGTTCCATTGGCCCTGGCCGCCTCTGAATGGTGTCGTGGAACACCACGGAGGAGAAGCAGACCAGGACGACGTCCTCCGCCGCGGGGGGAGGAGGGAAAGCCCTGAATGCGACATGGCCCCGCGGCACCGCATCAGTGGGTGCCCCTTGTGACGACTGGTTGCGCACTCCCTCCACCAGGATACCCTTTTTTTAATCGGCGATAACCCGGGTTATCCCGGGGGGGGGATCCTGCACAACCGGCAAGGTTAGGTTATCCTGGGGGGGGAGGGGGGGGGCAAGCCCGATAACCCGAGTTATCGCCCGACCCTAAAAAACAGTCTCCAGCGCCACGGCCATCCCACTCCTACAGGCCTTCAAAGCGTTCGTGCACTCGGAGGTCGCACATGTGGGCACACGGCAGCCGCGATGTTGACACACCGCGGCTGTCGCACACGGGCCATAGCGAGGCGACGACGGCGGCCCATCTCGAGCCTGCGTCGCCCCCCCGGCCCACCCGCCCACCCCCCGGAACATCCCGCGGCCCGCGTGGTGCTGATTCTTCCTCCTCCTCCTCCTCCTCCTCTTCCTCCTCCTCCTCCTCCTCCTCCTCCTCCTCCTCCTCCTCCTCCTCCTCCTCCTCGTCCTCCTCCTGCCCAGTTCGTCTCCTGCCGCCTTCTCCCTCCTCTCCCTGCCTCCGCCTCTCATCCTCCTCCCTCCGCCTGCCCCCTCCGCTTCCCTGTGCCCTCCTCGCCCACTCCTGCAAATTTAACAGAACGATGGTAATGAGGATGGGGCACTCTTTTGTCTGAGAAGACGGGTAAATGTGCCACAAGGTGTCGTGCAGCGGTAGCGTGGACTTGAACGCTTGAACCGAAAGCCATCGGTTGCACTCGAACCTGGGGTCCTATACCGAAACACCCCCCTCGACCTGATGATCCTGGTCGGGTAAGTCACGTGCAATATTGCAAATAAGTTTACGCATCACTGGTGAAGCTGGAGCTAATTCGACAGCGCAAAGCGGCGACGGCATGGCCGTGAATGCGAGTGGCTAAGGCAGAGAGTCGCGGTTTGCACACTACGTGCTTAATGACGCTTTGAATCAGTACGCGTGCATCTACTCAGCTTCACGGGCGTGGCGTGTCTCGTTCAGGCACTCGACAGATGCAGCTCTTCCGCTTGCCCGCCCTCCCCACCGTGGGCCCTGCCTCTCGGGTGTGCCTGGGGGGCGCGTGCGGGGGGGGGGGGGTCTCTGGCACCCGTCGCCCTGCGGGGAGTGTGGGGTCCCTCTCCCCGCGGCCGCGCGGCGGCTGGGCAGATCGCCCATGCACCACCAGCGCCTCCGCTGCCCTGCACTTCCCCAGTGCCCGCCCCCCTCCTCCTCCTCCTCATCCTCCTCCTCCTCCTCCTCCTCCTCCTCCTCCTCCTCCTCCTCCTCCTCCTCCTCCTCATCCTCCTCATCCTCCTCATCCTCCTCCCCTTCTCCTCCTCCTCCTCCTCCTCCTCCTCCTCCTCCTCCTCCTCCTCATCATCATCATCATCATCATCCTCATCCTCCTCCTCCTCCTCCTCCTCCTCCTCCCACTCCTCGTCTCCCCGCTCACCTTACATTCCTCCTCCTGACCCCACCGCCCCCATCCTACATCGTAGGCGGCCCCTTGCAGAAGGGCGAGCGAGGACGTGTCATGCCCAGGTCCCAATCCCAGACGCTGGCCTTTTCCCGCCCCCGCGCCCTGGCGCCCCCTCCCAATAATTTCGATGCCGTAAATTTTTCAATGCGGGCTCCCCCGAGCTCTGGACCACTTCCCGGGGACCGGCTTTTCATTCCCAGTAGTTTTTGGAAGGTCCTGGGGCCCGTCGAGGGCCCCCAGAGGCCGAAGTCGGCGAACGACAACTCCGTTCTGGTTTTTCTTCAATGCGTTGAGGTCTGGGTCCTTGACCATGCCGGTGATCATGAAGCCGACGGCGGACGTCTCCTTGATCACCTGCGCGATGGTGATGTTGAGGCAGACCTGCAGCGACCCCCCCCCCGGGGCGGCTGCGGGGAGAATCGGCGGCGGGGCGCAGCCCAGCTGGCCTCGTCGGTCCTCCTGTCGTTGTCGCTCGAACCCCACCTCCTCGCGCTGTGAAGACATCGCGACGCGGGAGACGTCCTGCAACGTTCTGCCTCATGTGGGCCCTCGCCAGGCCCGGGGACCGTCAGCAAAAAACAGCATGGCACGAGTAAGCAATCCAGCAGAAGGGGTCCAGGCCTCTGGGGGTCCACAGCCCAAGAGGCTCCCAAGAGAGCTCCAAGAAAGGCTCCAGAGCGTCAGCGTCGTCGTCGTCGCCGCTGCCGCCGCCGTCGTCGTCGTCGTCCCCCTTCAGGTCCGGCGGCACCGGCCGCTAGGCCTTCCAAATGAATAATCCAGAAGAAGGGGTCGAGACCTCTGGGGGCACATGTTGCAAAAAGATCACGACGTCGAAGCCGGCGTTCTGGGAAGCACGAGCAACCCCTACAATTGGGAGAAGGAATAACACTTGATACCTGTGGAGGCGGCAGGGGATTTGTTGCTGCCGCTCTGGACACCCCATGGCATCGCAGGATCATTAGCGGCCATGCGAGGAGGTAAACCTCTCCCCCTTCAGTCAAGCCACCCGCCCGACGAAACGATTGTCAGAAGCGTGACTGGAAAACAACGGCACGGCTCTTGTCCATAAGCTCGTGCGCCCCTTGCCGTACCCCACCGTTCCGACGCGAAGCGGGGGCGGGGCAGAGTTGGGCAGGCAGAAAACAACAAGCAAGAGGGCAAGGGAGGAGAAGAAGAAGAAGAAGAAGAACGAGGAGACGAAGAAGAAGCAGAAAAAGAAGGAGGAGGAGAGGAAAAGGATGCGCATGTGGACCAAGAGAGGGTACAGGAGCCGGAGCAGGAGCAGGAGCAGGCGCCGAAGCGAGGAAGGGGAAGGAGGGCGGGAGGCGAGAGGAGAGAGGTGAAGGATTAGGAGGAGAGAGCGGGGAGGGAGAAAGGATAGGGCGTTGAAGGGGAGGGGAGGGGGAAGGGGCGGTGCAGGGAGAATGAGGTAGAGGAATCATAAGAAGAAGACAATGGGGCATAGGAGGAGTGGGGAGAAGGGAGGTCGGATGAGAGAGAAACGGGGACAGAGGAGGGAGGAGGGAGGAGCCAGAGGGGAGGGGGCGGAGGTAGGAGATAGAAGGAAGCTACGGAGAAGGTAGGGGGGAGGGCGGAAAGAGGAGGAGGATGGGGAAGGACTCGATATGGTATGCGAGCAGACCCTTGAGGTGGAGGAGTGTAAAAAGTGCGACACGAGCTCGGATGGCGCCTCGAGGAGCTGCCAGCCGAGCAGCGAGGGCGCGCGGCGTTCCATGGACGAACGCCGCGAGCCTGCCGTGGGGCCCAGGGTCGACCCGGACTCGTGGAGCGTGGGAGCGCTGTCGGCTCCACGGGAGGGGGCCCGACCGCGAGGCACGCGTTCGGGATCAGGAGGTACCACATCGCGCCCGCGTCCGTCAGGATCTCGCTCTTCCACGTGACGATGTTGCCGATGACGAGCACCACCTGGGGGGGCGGGCGGCGGCCACTCCTCCCTCCTCCTCCCTCCTCCTCCCTCCTCCACCTCCTCCTCCACCTGCTCCTCCTCCTCCTCCTCCTCCTCCTCCTCCTCCTCCTCCTCCTACTCCTCCTCATCATCATCATCATCACCATCATCAGCATCAGCAGCAGCATCGTCATCATCAGCATCATCAACAACAACATCAACATCATGATCGCCAGCATCGACATCGTCGTCATCATCATAATCAGCATCATATTCACCATCGTCAGCATCGTCAGCATCATCATCAGAAGCAGCATCAGCAGCATCATCAGCATCATCATCATAGTCATCAGTATCATCATTATCATCATCATCATCGTCCTCGTCACCATCATCATCATCATCATCTAATCATCATCATCATCATCATCATCATCATCATCATCATCATCATCATCATCATCATCATCATCATTATCATCATCATCGTCCTCATCGTCATCATCATCATCATCATCATCACCATCATCATCATCATCATCAGCATCATCATCATTATCACACTCATCATGATCATCACAACCGTCAGCAGCATCAGCATCAACAGCATCATCATCGTCGTCATCATCATGATCAGCATCAGCATCATCAGCATCATGATGATCAGCAGCATCTTCATCATCGTCATCATCATAGTCATCAGCATCCTCATCATCATCAGCATCATCATCACCAGCATCATCACCATCATCATCATCATCATCATCATCATCATCAGCATCATCATCGTCATCATCAGCATACCCATCACCACCACCACAACCACCACCACCACCACCAGCATCATCAGCATCAGCATCAGCATCAGCATCAGCATCAGCATCATCAGCACCAGCATCCTCATCGTCATCATCAGCATCATCAAGAGCAGCAGCATCATCATCATCAGCATCAACATCATCATAATCATCATAAGAATCATAATCCGAATCAGCATCATCGTCATCGTCGTCGTCATCGTTGTGATTTTTGTCATCATCCTCCTTCCCTCCTCATCCTCCTGAACCCCCTCCTCCTCTTCTTCCCCCTCCTCATCATCAGCCTCATCCGCATCGTCATCATCCTCATCATCACCATCAGCATCATCAGCATCATCATCATCATCAGCATGATCATCGTCATCAGCAGCAGTAGCATCGTAATCATCATCATCATCATCAGCAGCAGCAGCAGCATCATCAGCATCATCATCGTCATCAGCAGCAGCATCATCACCCTCCTCGTTATCAGCATCGTCAGCATCATCACCATCATCACCACCACAACAACCACCACCACCACCACCACCATCACCATCACCATCATCATCAGCAGCAACATCAGCAGAATCATCATAATCATCAGCATCAGCATCAGCATCACCACCATCATGACCACCATCACCATCATCATCGTCATCATCATGATTATCGTCGTCGCCATCGTCAGCGTCATAGCCATCATCATCATCAGCAGCAGCAGCATCATCAGCATCATCATCATCAGCATCATCATCATCATCATCATCATCATCATCAGTATCATCATCATCACCATCACCATCACAATCACAATCACCATCACCATCACCATCATCAGCAGCACCTGCAGCATGACGATCTCATCCCTCCACCCCTTCTGTACTCTTGCATAGCCTCACTCCTCCTCCTCCTCCTCTTCCTCCTCCTCCTCGACGCCCCTGCCCCTCAAGTGGGAGCACCGCCCCAATTCCCAGCGCCGACAAAAAGAGGCTGGGAGGCGCTCCCGCAGAAAAAAGTGGCGGACGCTCCATCGATCTCCGACTCCCTTGTCCAAGACCCTGCCCAGACCCCCTCGAGCAGCGAACAATTACGACCGGGGAGTTTTCACCATTTTCGGCCTCTTGGGGCCCATACCGGGCATCAGGACCGTTAAAAAACGACTCAGGATGAAAAACTGGTCCCAGGGAATATGACGAAACCTCTGGGGGGTCGACGTCATGAAAAAATCATGACGTCGGGGGTCTGGGTCTGGGCGCCGTGAAAACGAATCGAGCGAGGCGCCAATTATGAGAGATGCCTGTGCTCGAGGCCGCGATGCGCAGCAGCGAGATGAAATGCAACTCAAAGCCTAGCAGAGCGTTGCGGCGCATGCAACAGCATTGCACCACCTAGCAGATCGAGGCGTGGCAGCAGTGCGTGACATCGAACAGCTAACCATCGCATTGTACAGCATAGCATGCTATAACAGGTCATGCCATGGTCAATCAGAGCATGGCATAGGACCACACCATGGCACGCCATGGCAAAATATCCTAACGCGGCAGTGCAATAGAAGCTACAACGTAACACTGCGCGGCAGCTATATCCTGGCGTGACTGGCAAATCGTCTGCCACCGCGCCATCAACAATTGGCAGAGCGCCCCAAGCCTCACTCAGCTGCCAGCCGCAGAGGGACTGCATAGGATTGCAGTGCTCTGCGGGGCCGCTCCCCCGTCCAAACTTCAGGCATGCTTTCAACGTGCCCAAAAGATAGCCCCAAGAGGCCTGGGAGGAGTGGGGAAGAAGAGAAGGGCCCCTCTTTAGGAGAAGTGGGAAAGGGGATAAGGGCCAAATTTAGGACAGGCTTCAAACATACCCTAAAGATGGCCCCAATCCTCCTAGGCCGCCCTGGAGCCTTCTTCTGGGCTTCCTGGCCTGTACACTGGCGGAGGCACCGGGGGATGGCCCCAGAAGCCAAAGTCATGGAAAACACGCGCGTGGTTGCATGAGTTTCGCAAACTTGTTTTTTAGGTCGGAAGGGCGTCCTAGACGGCCCAAGGGGCCCCAAAAATCGCCCCAAGACTGCCCCAAAGACCTAAGAAAGCCCCCAGAGAACTCCCCAAGACAGTCCCGAGAGGCACCCATGAGGGCCCCGAGAGGGATCAAAGAAGAGAAACTCAAAGGGCCCACTGGAGTCATCAACCCCAAGATGGTCCCCGAGACCGCCTCCAGTGCCCGAAAAGAGGCGCCCAGGGGACCCAGACGCCCCGAGGTCCCCAAGAGGCCTAGGCCTCCAAGAAACCTCCAAGAGGCCTACCAAAAGACCTCTTGTCCACGACCCATGCACGGTGGCGGGACAGACCAAAGGCCAGAAGATCCGCCGCTCTCTGTGCTTGCCACAGAGGTGCATGGCATGCCAGACTTGAGAATACTTCTTTGCCCTTCCGAAACACATACCACTGGCCCTCCGGCTCGTTCCGCCGCTCCCCCCTCTCGGGGCACCGCCCAACGCCCGGACAAACCGGAAAATTCGCAGCCAAAACGGCCGAGATTGCCTGACACGGCCTCCAAGACGGCCCGAGGCGTTCCCAAGGCGGCCTCCAAGACGCCTTCCAGAAGACCAAGATGGCCCCAAGATGACCCAAGAGGGTGCAAGAGGCTGGGGGTCTCTTGGGCCGTCTCGTGGACCCTCGGGGTCGGCCCAAGAAACTACAACACGCGAGGAACATTATATTTCTGTGTTGTTCGGCTTCTCGCCTTTTCGGTCTCAGGAGCGTCCCAAACGGCCCAAGAGGCTCCCAAGACCAGCCCAAGACGGCCCAAAGAGGCCCGCAGAGAACCCCAAGACGACCCCAAGACGGCCCAAGAGCGCCCCAAGACGGCTTCAAGACGCCCCCAAATAGGTTCAAGCGGGCCCCAAGACTCCCCAAGGAGACCCCCAAGACGGCCTCCGGAGGCGCCGGACGACCCAAGAGCGCCCTGAGACGGCCCCACATGTGAACCCCAAGATGGCCCGAGAGGGCCCAAACGGGCCCCAAAAAGCCCCGTAACAGCCCCAAGGCGGCCCCAGAGTCGGGTCGGACGAAAGGGGGGGATAGCATGAGGTCGGGCACGACCCCCCACAGCCGGATTTTGGAGGAAATAAATAAGATAAGATAAACAAGCAATGTCAAAACAAACATGCGTCAAAAGTTGTCAAACAATCTAGAAATATCGTCCCAAGACTAGGTTTAACGATTTTGACTCCTCCCTCCTGTAGAGGGACACGCCCGACGTAATGGCCGACAGCAGGCGCACGCAGCAGATGTCGCATCCCCCTCTTTCCTTGTCCCCCGCCCTCGCGTCCGACCCACAGAGATCCTCTCCCCGGTGGTCCCCCGACGGCTCCCCCGACCATGCGTGAGGGAACGCGCAGTCCGCGGGCGTAGGACGTCCAGGCGCGTCCGTGGCGTCGGGAGGGCGAATGCCGGGAAACCCGTGGATTTTCGAAGAATTTCAATGCTCCCAGGGTCGATGGGCTCCCCATAATCCGAACTCCCAACTTCGGGAGATAGGAGCCGCGACCGGGGGCGGCAAGGAAGTGGCCACCAACCCTCTTGGACCAAACAAGGCGCCTTCCGTCCAGCCCTGGAACAGTGCCACATCGAAATCAAAAAACAGAACGGTGACTCGGTCCTGGGGATGTGGTGTGGTCGAGAGCTCCTGGGGGAGGGCGTTGGGGAAAAGCACGACATCGGAACTGTGGGTTGCCTGGATTCTCACATGGCTCCCTTTGGGGAAGCCAAAAGGTGCCGATACCGCGACTCCCCAGGCCTCGCCTGGCGGGCGTTCTGACCAGGATTTCGAAGCGAATCCGGCGGTGGCGACGAGGGCCGCCCAGGAGGCCCAGAGAGGGAAAAACGAGGCAAGGGTAGCGGCATCGGTACCTTGTCTTCATCTGTCGCCTCCTTCGAGTCCAGCCCTGCGAAAGCCCCGGCGTTCGACGTACACTCCCCCCCTGCGGAGGAACGGCTGCAGGCCAGCTCGGCGCCCCTGGCACCACCCGCCGAGTGCGAGCCTCGGAGCCCTCACGTCGGCCGCCTGGCCCCCCCCGGGATGGGTGCGCGGAGGGGCGGTCCCGCCAGGCAGACGGGCGAGATGAAGAAGGCGTAGCTGAGCGAGTCGAGCTTGTAGTTGTTGCCCGAGAGAACCTCTCGAGGCCGGTCCGAGGCTCTTCGGCAGCGCCAACGCCGCAAGAGGTGAAACGTGCTGCTGCCTCCATGCGTTGACACGCTGCTCGTCTGTGCGGCTTAGGGGCAGTGCCTCTCTTGCGCATCCTGTGCGTTGGGGCAATGCAGCTCTCGAGGACCTCATGATAATCAAGTTCGGAGAGACGCCGAGAACGTCGGCGTCGACATGTCGCGGACATCATTACTTCGTTGCCGCTAGCTTCTGCAAAGCTCCTGCCAGCCTGCCTGCGAACCACTTTCGCTGGCCTTCCTGGACTGTCACGCCAGTTCCACCCGGAGGAGCATGATAACCCGTAAGGAGAAGAGAGGAAGAGGGAGAGAGAGAGAGAGAGAGCGAGGGCGGCGTGCGGGCGGGATTCGGGAAGTAAATGCCACTCGTTTGGGGGGCAGCCTTGCGGTAGGGCCTCACCTGGACGCGGCGCGCCTCTGCGGTCTAGCACACGACCTGGCATTCACGGGCCGGATGTGATCTAGCACGGACGGGGAAAAAAAAACAAACAACACATTCAGAGTGGGAGAATGTCTGTTTGGGTGGGTGGGCGGTGGGTTGGGGGAAAGCACAGACGCACACAAAAAAAACATCGAGACGGTTTTTTTGGAAGGCTTCATGGGAAAATTCCAGGAACCCTCCAGAATAACCCCCATGACGGGCGGGGTGAGGGGTGTTCAGAAGGGGGTCCAGACCCCACTCCCCCCGAGAAAACTGGCTGGGGGTCCTGGATGGTCCTGTGTGGGTCCCAAACTGCCACCCCCGACTGCCCCGCAGTGGCAAGAGAATTGGGGGTCCCAAAGCGGTGCGGTGACGGACCGTGCTGTGACCTCGGAAGCCCAAAGACCTCACCGCAAAGTCCGTCACCGCACGGTTTTGGAACCCTCTGGAGGCCCCAATCGCCCGAGACGCCCTCGGAGCACGACCCCGGGTCCCAAAGCCGTGCGGCCGCCCCGGATCCCACTGACTCACCACACGGCGCGGTCACCGCACCGCTCGTGGGGAGACCAAGAGATACGGCGACCGCTACTCCCTGGACCCCTCCCGGGCTGCGCTCTGATCACACTGTCGAGGCGAAGCCAGCCGTGGCGACGAGGGCCTGCCGGGCGGCAGGGAATGGCATCGCGATCGGTGCCTGTTGCTCCTCCGTCTTCGGGGGCCCCCGAGGGGAGGAGCAGAGAGGAGCCCTCGAGAAGCCAGGGGGGAGGGCGCGAAGGACCGACCCCGCGGAGAGCGCACGACGCGGGGGCCAGAACCCGCGCGGCGGCAGGGCGAGGCAGCGCGAAGAAGTCCGGCGCGGCAGGGCCGTGCCCTTGCGCGAGCCGCGCCAAGAGAGGCGCGCAAGGGGAGCGGGCGGAGCCAGCTCCGCGATGACGGCGCGGCAGCACTCCGCGAACT